CGAACACGGCCTGGAGCACTGAGAGGCACCGGCCTGGCGAGCACGGCCTGGAGCGCTCGGAGGCGCGGCCTGGCGAGCACGGCCTGGAGCGCTCGGAGGCGCGGGCCTGGCGAGCACGGCCTGGTGCGCTTGGAGGCGCAGCTGTTTGGCGCCATCCTTGGGGGCTGGCTGTGGGCCTGGCGTGCAGGCCGCGGCCCCGCAGTCTTTGTTCTGCCCTTGTCCGGGGAGGGCGGCCAGGTTGGCCGTTTGCCGCGGTTTTCTACGGCCTTTTCCGGATGTGCGGATTTGCAGCGGGCAGAGGAACAAGGCGAGATGAGGGGCGTGCGCGACGCCGATGGGGTCTGACGCTGAGGGACGCAGCTGCCCGCGCCGCTGTGGCAGAGCGGCCGGATCCCTCCCGACCCAAGTCCGGGGCCCCTCTCTGCTTTTTTAGGACCAGCCAGGCAGTGAGGAGGGGCACCCAGGAGCTCTCGGCCTGGGGCCGTAGGGGTTGCCCTGTGGCGGGACAGGCGGCGTGGACAGGAGTTCCGAGGTTGGGGGGATCTGTGGCCTGTGAACGCTCGGGAGACGCCGCACCCTCTTCTGGCCGCAGTGCGCCAACACATCCCGCCTTCTCCAGCTGGCACGTCCCCCTGAGCTGCGCGCGCATCACCGCGGGGCGCCCTGGAACCTTGCCTCCTGCTGCCGCAGGCACGCCCACTGTGGGCGGGGCCACGGGAGCTGTCCACGGGCGCTGTCCTCGGTCCCGGATCTTCGGCGCCAGAGCCTCGGCACGGCTTCTGCGCCCTTTTGGCTGAGCTGGTTGGGAAAAATATTTTAGAAAAGATCCCATGTGTTCCAGGCAGAGAAGGATGATCCCGACAGACCTACGCGACCACGCACGAAAGTGAGAGAACCGCTGTCACCTGGTGCCGCGGTGCAGCCCGGGTCCCTGGGCCCCTTTCTCGTCCCCAGCTCCCCGACCTCAGGTGCATGTGTAGAATTAGACCATATTCATCACCAGTTCGTGATACATGTTCATCATTAATCTGTGGGCTAACCTTTTTCTATTTAAGAAAAAATAGTTGTTTTGTGTAAGGTAGTGAGCCCTGTGCCGAAGAAAATCGAGGATCTTGACAATAACCACTGTTTGACTACGTGTTTCATCCTTTCCCCTTTATTTCTCTATTGGAAGTAATCATGAGCCCGCAAACTGTATTTAAAAATTTTTACTCTAACTTCTGATTAAACGGGTGTACGTGTGTTTATAAAAAGTGTATATCGTAGTATGTGCAACTTTTGGGGACTTAAAACAGTAGTGTTATACTGCTACAAACAATAATATTCTTGTCTTTCGCTGTGCTTTATTCCTTCTAATTGTTGTAATATTTTATCGTGTGGATCTACCAAAGTTAATTTATCCAGTCTTCCGCTGAGCATTTGGGTTGTTTCCAGGTTTCTGCTATTGTGAAGAGTGCTAGGTATTATTTCACGTTTCCTGTTACGTATATACGTGTGGTTTTCTCTTTGTGCATACCTAAGAGTGGAATAGCTCGGTCATGTAGGATACATGAATGTTCGATTTGAAGACCTAATGTCGTGCTGACTTGCATAGTGATTGTACTAATTCCACCAGCAACAAGGAGAGCTCTGGACCATCTCACCTCCAACAATTGGTATTTGATTTTTGCCAATGGAGTGCTGGGGATGACATGGCATGGTGGTCTTGATTTGCAGTTCTTTGATCACTGGTGATACCGATCATGTTTATTGACATACCTTTTTGTTCTGTTTGTTTGATCGTGTATTGTCAATTTTATATTGGGTTATCTGTTGCTTGTAGTGTATTCTTTTTCTTTGGAATCTTTAGAATTTCCTCTCTGTCTTTGATATTAAAATTCACTGTATTTCTTTTTTTTTTTTTTTTTTTTGGCATGCTGTGTGCTTTCGCAGCCAGAGGTCATTCATCGTCCTTCATTTCTTGGAATTGTAAAAAAAAAAAAAATGTTATTTGTTTGCATGTGTGTTTATGTAGATACTCTTGATGCCAGTTCTTTGCCAGTTTTGTGTATCTCCCAGTTTATAAGTTATTTCTGTTTTCTTTAAGCTACTTGTTTTTATGAATATAAACCTTAAATTGAGTAGGTCAACTTTACCAGTCTATTCTTTTGTGGTGAATGTTTTCAGGTCTTAAATTTTTTTCCTATAATAAGATCTAAAAGATATTTCCTGTCAAGTTTCAAAGTTTGGCTTTTGATGTTTACGTTTTTAATACATTTAGAGTTGATTTTGTGTGCAATGGTAGGTAGGGATCCAATTTTATTTTTACATATGAATAATTGTTTTGTTTCCAGTTCCACTTATTGGACACTTTTTTCTTTCCCACCAACCTGATGTATTACTTCTGTCATATTCAAAGTTTGATACACATATGTGTCTCTGTGCTCTCTTTTCTAGTCTGTTGGTCTCTATTCTCATCTGTTTGTCACTGCACATATTCCTATGTCAACCCCCATATTGATTTTTATATAGGCTTTTTTATTCTGGATTATTACAGTAATGTCCCAGATAAACTGAGACCTGGTCACTCTACCTGTGGGCCTTTGTAACGAATTTTGATTTTATGGCATGCATGATGGGAAGTATTGGAGAGTTTCAGCAGTTGAGTTATATATTTTGGTTTATGTTTTTGAAGATCTCATTGACACAAGATGGATGGGGAAGGGGGGATGACGAGAGCATGGAGGCAAGGGGACCAGTTAGGAGGTTGTTGCAAGCGTCCAGCTGAGAGGTGGTAGTGGAGTGAGTGGCAGTAGAGATGGAATAATGTGGATGAATTTGAGGTGGAGATACAAGCTGTAGAGCTTTCTGACATGTTCAGTGTGGTAGATAAGGGAAAGATAGGACTCAAGGCAATATGTTTGGCTTGAAGAGCTGGGTGGTGGAGATGCCATTTCTGAGATGGAGAATTCTGGGGAAGGGACAATTTTGTAAGTTTACAAGCTTTCAGATAAGTTACCATGCCGCTTTTAATTTGCTTATCCTTGGAAATAGCTTTATGGTTATGTGTGTTTTATAGCCTGTTGATTCTCTTTCCTCCCCAAATAGGTGACTCTCTTTTGAAAAGTGTAACCAGATCTCTTCTGGAATTCAACACAACAGTGAACTGTGAGCAGCAAAGCGCCAATCACAGAGTCCAGAGTAGCATCACCTTCCTGTGTGGGAAAACCCTGGTGAGTCCACACAGAGACACTGTATCTGTTTCTTTTGTAAAACTGGGCATTGTTGCTGTAGAGGCATTGCAGAGAGAATAAGCGAGGAAAGAAAAAACACAAATAAACAAAGTCCCAACCTAATCACCATTGCCATTAGAACCAATAAGTCAACCAATCCTAAACTTAGTTACAACTTTTAAGTGGAACTTGAGCCACATCCTGTGTAAGAACACAGTTAAAAGTGATTAGTGTGTTAAAACTCAAAGCACTGTTTAATGTTTATGTCACAGGCATACTTTTTTTTTTTTTTTTCTAAAATCTCTTCTCCCAGCATTTCATTTTGATAGGTTATAGGGCAATGTGTGTAGTACATTAAAAAAAATGCCCCCCCCCCAAAAAAAAAAAAATCAGAGAAACCAACATCTGTTTCAGAGAAGCCCTGGACAGTGAGTAATGTGTTCCCAAGCTTTTGGGGTATTACTTGGTGTTTAAAGGAACATAATTGTGTAAAGCATGATGCTTGTTCTTATTATGGGCACATTGTGTGTGATTTGTTAGTTTTAATCTTTATTTTTTAGAAAGAAACTTACAGTAAATAATTGTTAGCTTTTAGAGGAAGCAGTTGGTATACAAATTCTATGAAGTTCTGGAATTAGAGTAAGAACCCAAGTGTTTAGTTAGTCAGATTGAGTAAAACTTATGTGGCTACCAGATTGCTTTAAAATATCATTTTAGAATTTGGTGTAGTGACCATTACATCTTCAGGGCCATACATCTCATTTGAAGAACTTTAAAAATAAAACTAATATTGTTAGTTTTGGACCAGTCTATCAACTGTACTATTGTACATGTTGAGAACTTAAAAAAAGAATCTGTTTGCAGCAGAATGAACTATGAAGAATTATATTATAGAACAAGCTATCTGCTGTTTTAGCTTTAATTTCCTTTAAGAATTCTGTTTACCGTACGAGAAACAGAACTATAAAGGAGAACCCTTTAGGATTTGCACGTGGGAGTGTAGATGTTAATTCTGGCTGTGCCATGTGTCACCCAGTGGCACTGTGGTTGACCAGTGTGGAGTCGGCCCTGGTTGCAGCCTGACAGGAGGGGCTGCCCTCAAGGGTGGGGTCTGAAGCGAGACTAGGCTCACTCCCTTGTCTGGCGGGTGCACTAACTCGGCCCGTTGATGCAGATGGGCTCCTCGCAGGGGCCTCCTCACAGGAAGCGTGAGCTCATGCTTTTGGCTTTGAGTTTGTTGGCATTTGGTGAAGAGAACATGTGCAGTTCAAGAGAGACAACTCCGAGGCTCACTTCCCAGGAGCTTACTGTGCTTGGATAATTCGGGCAGTAGAACAATGTTGGACCAGTTGTGCTAAAATTCCAACATGATTTCATGAAGCTTTTGTCTCAGGATTTTCGGGTTTGGGAAATTCTTGGTGACCTTGTTTAACTAGAACAGTTGTGTTTCCCACCCTTATTGTTACTGCTACTTTTATTGTGTTCTAACTTTAAAAAAGAAACTTGACGATATGAAGTATGGTAACTTATTTTAATTTATTTTTTTAAATAGGGAACTCCTGAATTTGTAACAGCAACAGAATGTGTGCATTACTTTGAGTGGAAGACCACTGCAGCCTGCAAGAAAGACATATTTAAAGCTAATAAAGAGGTAACTAAGGAACTTTAAAGCTATATGCTTATGAAGTATACTCCGGGGACCTTTAAGATTTGAAATACTAATTCTAACGTTTTGGGGTGAAGATCTTTATTAGTTTTTAAACTCCAGTTGAGCAGAGATACCATGTGATTTAACTGTTAAAACTTTTCCGAGTGGTTCTTATTTTTAGGACAGGGCATGTAATATATTATAGGATATGATTTTTGGTCCAGATTGGAAAAAGAATGACTCACCCATATCAGGCAAGTTAGTTCTTGGTTTCTGGTGCTGCGAAACTCAATAAATTAAGTGACGTGGTTGGGCTTAGGTTTAGGTTGTTCACTCTACCTACAGGAGCTATCTCCTCTGACCTCGGCTACTTCATTTCTACCTGGGGTGCACCCTACTCTGATAAATTAAGTGACGTGGTTGGGCTTAGGTTTAGGTTGTTCACTCTACCTACAGGAGCTATCTGCTCTGACCTCGGCTACTTCATTTCTACCTGGGGTGCACCCTACTCTGGTAAGTCCCCTCTGCCTATTTTCATTGTTAAATCCCTCTCCTCAGCCTTGGGGTGGCTTCTGATGCATTGTGAATCCAGGCCAGGTGTTCTTACCCCTCATATTCTTTGCTGGGTCACCTCCAAGATTAGATTACTGTTACTGTTCTTGCCACTCTTTGTTCTAAAAATCAAGTCAAGTTATGAATAATATATTATCACTGATTTTTCTCATATGGCCATCTATAAAAGAAGAGGTAGTTTGATGTGGAAATGGAAGAGGCGAAATGTCACCTCCCAGAAAAGAGCATAAGGAATGCTCAATGAGGAAAAAATGTTTAAAGTGGAAAGAATTAAGGCCAATATTTGGAGGTGGTGTCAAATTTAAACTTTTAAGTTTTAAAACTTAGATTAAGCTGTTTGATGATGTACCGTTAGCGGCAGGAAAAGCATCTCGAACCTGAAATCCATTTGGGGGTGGGTGGGGGTGGGGGGTAGTCATCCTCAAGTGTCCATTTGGCTGGATCTGAGTCACTTCTCGCTGGAGGCAGCGACCGTAGAGAGCGTGCCTTCCACTCTCTTGGGACACCCCACCTCTCTCGGCCCCACAGATGCTCTCTTGGGCTCTGATTCTCCAACCTGATAGTGATACCCAATTTTTTCTGTTTTTTTTGAGTGCTTCTCTTACCTCGCTTTCCTGAATTGATAATTGTGTCTTCTACCACTTAGGAAAAAATTTTGCTTTCCAAAATAAGTAAACAACAACTTGTTTTCTATAGATCAGAAGTTGCAAATTATGGCCTGTGGGCCAAATCCTGCCCCTGGCCCTTTTTTTTGTACAGCTCCAGAACTAAGTGGTTTTGACATTTTTACAGGATTGTGAAAAAACAAAGAATATGCAACAGAGACCTACGTGACCCAGAAGGCCTAAGAAAAGATCTTTACGGAAAACATTCATATTCTAAATAGTTTTGTGGGGTGGAGTGGGGAGATATAGTCTGTTTTTCTCAAAATAGTGACATTTAGTTTCTCTCAGAAGCTGAGCTGGAGACGCAGGAGAACTGTAGTTTGTTCTCACTTATCTCTTTAGGTGTGGTTGGCAACTGGGGCTTTATTCATGCGGTTTTCGTTTACTGAGAGGCTGTTTGTGGGCTAAGCAGGAGGAAGGAATTCCATTACATTTTGAAATGGTTCTGCTTTTGGGGAGCCCATGGACTAATAATGGTATGGAGGACGCAACCATATTCACTAGCTCAGTTTTTTTCTGCCTTATGGAAAGATAAATTAGATGGAAAGAACTGAAGAGAATAATGACTGCCAACAATATAGTGCTGTCACCCTTAATAAACCTTAATAAAATATATGCCATTCTTTCCGTGTTTGGTGTGATTTGATTACACCTTGCAGGGTATGGTATGATAACTTAAAAGAGTTTTATGTGTTTGTATAACACTCATTCCTTCAAAAAAAAAAAAAATCTTGTTTTGGTTTAGTGTCGGTATGGTCTTGATTTCCACGTCTTATTGATGTTTCTTTATTTCTTTCGTTGGTTTTGCCCTGTCAGATTTAGACTGATTTGATGGGCAAAGAGTGTAGCAATTCCAAACAGTGTCTTTTAAAACTGCTGTTACAGCGCGTGGTCTGTGGATTCTGGTAGGGGTTTTTAAAGATAATTATTTCTTTAAAACATTTTATACATAACGTCCCCTACCATAGCTCTCTTGGGAACATATAAAATTCAGACCTGGCCTGCTAGTAGCCTCACCAGAGTTATATAAGAAAGACTAATATACATAAAACAACATTAGCTGTGTTCACTCCATGCGTGGTGTGTTGACGCTGGCATGCCACCGCCTTCTCCAGGCTGCTGAAGCCCTGGTCTTATGAATGTCTCCATTGCTGTGCCCAGCGTGGCAGGAAGTGGGGGGATGTTCCCTGGAGCCTGGCTTGTTTTTCCGTCGGGCGCTCCAGTTCTGGGGGGCCTGCCTTAGGCGTGTCTTCCCTCTGGGGGTGGGGAGACAGCAGCGGTGCCTGGAGGTCTTGCTGACTTGGCATCCTCCAAGCATCCTGGTGAAAGGGGCTGGTTTGAGTTTGGGCTCTGTCTCTCCTGCCCTGTGCCGTCTCGCTCCCTGTCTGTCTCAGGCACTCATTCTGCTAGCTAGAGCACTGCTTCTTGTCTCCCGTCCCAACCAGCCAGCCCACTCGCTCCCCTCTCAAGTTCATGCTTTATAGGATCTCACTGTGGGATGACAAGCTTTAGATTTGCAAGATTATGGACCCTTGTGGTTGTTTTTCACTGCAACCCAATTATAGTCTGCAGTAATAACTTTTATTTTAATTGCCTTTATGTGCAATGTGGCGTTTAAACATGGGCTCTGGTGCCTGCGTTCTCTGAACACTGGAGTTTCCAACCTTCTCAGTTGACAGTGAAATCACTCGTGTCTGAGAAGCATTTCAGGCAGTGGGAGCCTTGGCTTTAAAGATGTGGTGGAAATGAGTTTGTGTGCCTCTGAGGCCATGAGGAGGTGTAAGTTGTTTGATTTACTCCATTAGGTCTCCATGAGATCTCTGAAAACAAGACTGGGGAAAAAGGATATTTATTGGGTTAGAGCATTCCTGCAGGTTTGATAGCATCTTTCTAAGAAAAATTTGGAAGCTAATTTTTAAGCAGTTAACTTTTGTAAACAGAACTGCCTGTGATTTGCTTCAGTCTGAAAGATAAAATTTTGGGAAACTTATCCATGGAAAGTAATAAAACTAATTATGTGGAAATGTTTGCAGAGAACATGAATTTTTAGAATATTCCTTGGAAGAGGCAATTAAAAAGATACCAATGTATTATTTTGGAAATAAAATTTAAAGGGATGTTTCAAGTAAAGTCATGGCAGTAGATATTGTTAACTTGGTGACCAAGGTCTTTTTTATTCTTCGGTACATCTTTGGGCATTGATGTTTTTCCTTCAGAAATAAGCAGAACTCTTAGGTTATAGAGTCTTGCCAACTTTAATGGGTTTCTTGACATTTTAAAAATACAAAGGCCGTTAGTTTCTAGGGATGAGAGAGTGGTCATAAGTTAGAATTAAGTAAAGATGGATTAAGATGCCCAGAGGAGGAACTTGTCCTTATATTTTATTGAGCAGGGATTTATCGAGCTCCTGGTGTGTTCTAGGTATTGTGTTGAGCCTTGGTTAGGGCTCCTGCAGTGACTGGGCCCTAACCAAGCTCAAGGAGCTTCCATTCTAGTGGGAGGAAACTCACAAGTCAACACATAGCAGTCCCTGGTATTATATACCTCAGTGCTGTGAAGCAAAAAGAGGCAGGTAAGGGAGTTGAGAGAGGTGGAGAGTGCTGTTTCAGAAAAGGCCTTGCTAAGTAGGTGGTGTTTCATCCCAGACCTGAATGAACTGAGGGAGAGAGCCCTGTGGATATTCAGGGGAAACACAGCTCAGGTAGAGGGAGCATCGAGTTTCAGGGGGCGGAAGTGCAACGAGTGGCGTGTGTGGCCGCGTGGAGCCAGAGAGAGTGGTAGCCGGGGTCAGGGATCATGGAGGAGTTCGAATTTCATTCTCAGCGTCATTGGAAGCTGTTTTGATCAGGGAGCAATGTGGCCTAATTTACCTTGTGAAGATCAATCCTGTGGTTGAGGAGACATGGGCTGGGGGTAAGAGGCCATCAAAGCTGGAACTGGGAACCAGTGAAGAGACTGTTTTAGTCTGGAGACTGAGGTGGCCTGGACAGGGTGCCTGTGGTGGAGGTATGAGGAGCGGGAAGATCTGGGACTTAATTTGAAGGTAGAACGGACAGGACTTGCTAATGGTTAGTTGTGGACTGAGAGAGAAAGCAAGGGCTGCGGGGTAGCCTCAGGGTTTTGGCCCGTGCAGCTGGTGGAATGATTGCTTCATTTCCCGAGACAGGGAATGTTGGGATAAGGGCAGGTTTTGAGGGAGAAATCAAAGGTCCATTTTAAGTATGTTAAATTTGAGATGTCTTTGTATATCCAGGTGACGACAGTAAGCAATGGCAATGAATAACACTTGTATCGACCTTTAATTCATTCAGTCCTTAAACCAACATTGTGAAGTAATTACTGTCATCATTCCCATTTGACACATGGAAAAACCGAGGCACAGAGGTTACATTTGCTCATGGTCACATGGAGTGTCAGCACCACAGTTTGAACCCAAGCATTCTGCCTGCAGAGTCTGTGCTCATAAACACAGCTTTTGTTGGTGGCTGTGTCTGGGGAAAGGTCAAGGCTCGAGACCTAAATCTGGGAATCATTGGCAGGTATTTAAGACCACGCATGGAATGGGTGTAGACAGGGAAGAGGTCTGATAAGTAAGCTGTGGAGCACCTCTGCATTTAGAGTCAGAAGGAGGATGGGAAATGTTTTCAGGGGGCTGAGAAAGAGCGACAGCAGGGCAGAAGGAAATGAGGAGGCTCTGGGTGGCCAGGAAGCAAAGTGAAGAAAGGTTTCAGGAAGGAGAGAACAGTAGCAGCGTCACATGCCGTTTGGCCCATGCGAGGGCAAGATTGAGGCATGGGCATCGGATCAGGCAGCAAGGAGGGTGTTGATGACCTGGTAGGTGTGGTTTGGGGGCAGGGGGTGGGCAGAAACCTGATGTGACTGTGTCCAAGAGGGAATGGAGAGTGAGCAGGAGCAGACGATGAGCAGGGACAGTCCGAGGAATTTGCTTTAAATTTGGAGACATGGGAAGATAGCTGAGCGGGGTGGAGGGACAAGGGAGGACATCACAGCACAGTGCAGAGGTGATCCAGTTGCAGAGCAGAGGAGACGATGGCCGGAGCACAGCCTTGGAGTGGGTGAGAAGAGAAACTGAGAACAAGAGTAGAGAAGCTGAAACCTTCTTCCACCTTTGCTTTGCTTTGTTGTCATCAGGGGACATCATGGCCTGCTAGACCCTAAGAAGTGGATACCGGTGTTGTGTGGCATCCATTGCAGGCTTTTCTGACCTGCTCGTCCCGCGGTATGTGTTGAGGACTCACTTTTTCCTTCCTCTCTTCCAGGTGCCATGCTATGCATTTGATGAGGAGCTGAGGAAGCACGATTTAAATCCCCTGATCAAGATGAGTGGTGGCTACTTGGTGGATGACTCTGATCCGGACACGTCTCTATTTATCAACGTTTGTAGAGACATAGGTATAAATCTTCGTGGAATTGGGGTGTGTGGTGTTGGTGAAGGATTTCTTATAAGCCTTCAGTATCTTTGCCCTTCCACCTTTCTTCCTACTTGGATGTTCATGTCACAAATGAGGCCCTCTAAGAAAGCTTTTGTCCCGAAAGATATTCTTTTTGCACAGCCCGCTCTTCCTCCCCCAGTAAATTCTGATTCCATGCCTCCTCCCTGGCCCCTGCAGTTCCATCTAAGCCATCGGTCCATTTCATGTGTTGTCTCTGCCAGACATGTAGGGTTTCAGGATTCCGTAGTGAGGAATGGTTGGTCTTCCTGTGTGTCCCTGAGTCCCTTGGCTGTGAGTTGCAGGACAGGTAAAGGAAACAATGGGTGACAAAGCCTGTGGGTACTTGGTCATGATGCATATGTTGGGCCCTGGCCAACCTCTTCCCTGGCTTTCTCTGTAGATGCCCGAACTGGCGTGAGAAGCTTGGGTATCTTTGCTAAATCAGCTAAAGGCTGTACTGGTCTTTATCTACGAAGGGCCATGAAAAGTTTTACTAAGCCTTTAAACTAGCCTGTAGCTAATAGGACTAAGCGAGGCTTCTGAAGCCTAGCTTCGTGTTTCTCTTCAGGGCTGTGACTTGTCAGCCCCATAGGCCAGGGCTTGTCTTTCTGCAGTGCTAGCAGTGGCTGTGCTATGAGTAAATGTTGCTGATGGTTAACTGATAAAAAGGTCATTTCTAGTGTTTTCTTTATGTTTCTGTCTCTCACAAAGTACATACTACTTTGGCCTTAGAAAATTTTGGAAAAAAATTTAAAAAATAATACATGGGGTATTGCTGGGTAGTAGGTACATGTATATTAATTTACAGTTATTCTTTAAATTGTGCATATACATTAGGGGTCATCTTGTTTGTGTATTATTTCCAAACAGTTAAAAATAGTGAATATACCCCACACATGGCTCACCAGAAGTGACCAGTGGTAATTTTATATTTTTTTTGTGTTGGGTTATTACATCACTCTTTTGTTCTCCAAGGACAGGCTTTATTGAACTTTGAAACAAGGTCAGTAGACGAAGTCTTTATCTTAAATGGTTTTTAATAATTAAATTTGGTTAAAAAGTTAAAGATTCTTATAGATTATTGAATTCTGAAATAATGTGCTGTTTGGTTTGGAAAACATTTAAATTTCTGGTCTTTTATCATTTGGGGGATTATCTGAATTCACTGGATATTTTCTTACAAAAGTTTCTTTTTCTCCAATTTCCTAGCAATTTTAGTTGAACTTTAGTGACTTTGACTCGCACTAGAAGTGCCCCAGTTTTTGCTCAGACATAACTGGATATTTTCTTACAAAAGTTTCTTTTTCTCCAATTTCCTAGCAATTTTAGTTGAACTTAGTGACTTTGACTCGCACTAGAAGTGCCCCAGTTTTTGCTCAGACATACTCCATCCCCAGAAAATTGGCCCGGTCCTCACACCAAGTTTGAGTGCAGCCCTGAAAACCCCACGAATAGAGCTTCGGCTTTGCTGCCATGTGCTCAGCTCCTGCACGTTCAGGGCACTTGCCTTGCTTCTTGCCTTCAGTAAACCAAGCAGTCTCATCCCTGTGAGGGTGAGAAGCCTGTGGCCGGTTGAGCCTGTATGTGTAGCAAACAGCTCGTTGAGTGAAGTTTCATATCATCCTGTGTTTGGAGGGCTGGAGAGTTTAAAGGTTTGCTTCCCTTTTCATTAGCCAGTGACTGTGGCGGAAGGAATATTACCCCTCCCCCTGCGATTGACAAGGCAAGTAAAGCCCAAGGCAGGTGATGTTAGTCACTCATTCATGGGAGAAAGATTTTTTTGAACTTCTACCATATACTAGCCGTACTTTAGGTGCTGGTGACAGCCTTAAACACGTGGCAGAACACACCACAGTTCCTGCTTTCCTGGAGCTTATAGTCAAGGAGAAGAAGGTACACAGTGAATAAGTAAACCCAAAAGTGTGTGAGGCCCCCAGCGATGATGGAAGTAATGCAGGTAAACAGAGGCACAGCCACAATCAGCTGAGCTATTGCTGCTGTGGTCTGTAAAGCCTGGGCATTGTTCTAGGCACATTGGTGTGTTCTTGTCTGTAATCCTACCCCAAGCCTGCGAGGCAGCACAGAATAGTCTCTGTGTACTGGGCACCTCGTACATCCCAGTGCAGAGCCAGTGCTGGACATTCCTTCACCCTGTGCTTTGTTTAGAGAGGTTAATGGCTTGCCAGCATCTCAGAATGGTGACTTAAGGAGACTTTTAAAAGTTCTATAATTTGTTTAAAGGGACCCTGGGCCTAAGGGTACATGTGATTACCACTCCTGACTCTCGATCTGATTTAATGTAATATGTGATATTTTACAGACTCACTGCGGGACTCCAGTCCACAGTTGCGTGGCTGTCCCTCTGGCACTGCTGCCTGCCTGGTAAGAGGAGACCAGGCGTTTGATGTTGGCCAGCCCAAGGAGGGTCTGAAGCTCGTGAGCAAGGACAGGTTAGTCTGAAGCCTCTGCCGTGGTTATGTTTTTAATTCTCAATAAGAATCTGACTTTTAGGGAGCTGCAAGAACATCTCTTTTCAACAGGGCTTGGGATAGTCCCTGCAGAACTACCCCTTCACGTGTGCTGTGGTCATTGGGCATCGCGGGGACTGGCTTGCTTGTTTTTTGCTTTCTAATCACTTGTCTCTTGTAGCAGTAAAAGTATGTATCATGATCCAGTCCATAGTACACACACACATTTGCTTCATGCAGTGATACCTACCTAATGGTGCATTCTCATATTCTGCATTGTGAGTCACCTGCAAGGTTGTTTTTGTGTCCAGAGTTCTCTGTTCTTTGGAGGGCAGGAGGCAGGAGGGCAGTTTGCTGGGGACCTTCCAGGGTGCAGTTTTCTCCTACCGGGTCACGGTGGGCACCCTGGTTCCCAGTGGGCGATGGTTTGTTCCTTGTAATAAGCCGTGCTGTTTACATATGCTCTACTGTCCCGTGACTTGGCAGAAATATGTTCTTCTCCGGCACGTTGCACATGACCACGTTCTGAACTTAGATCAAGGATTTCGATTACCCTGTTCCAGGGGCCTTTGGTAGATGCCTTGTTGCAGCTTCCTCTGGTCTGGAGCTAGTGGCATGTCAGGGTGATTGTAGGAGTTGTTACAATAACAGATTGCACTTCTGTCCCCAGCAAACACCAGAGCATAACCTAGAGTGAAAAATGTTTGGAATTTTTTGTGTGTGTGTCTGTATTTGTTTGTTCAGGCTGCCATAAGAAAATATCACAGACTGGGTGGCTTATACAACAGAAATTTATTTCCTCCTAGTCTGCAGGCTGGCAGTCCAACTCAGGGTGTCGGCAGAGCTGGTTTCTTCTGCTGCCGCTCCTTGGGCTCACAGCCGGCCGACTTCTCACTGTGTCCTCACATGGTCTCCCTCTGTGCAGGTCTGTGTCCTAATCTCCCCTTCTTATAAAGACACCAGCCATGTCAGTTTGGGCCCACCCGTCTGTCCTCATTTTTACTTATTTACCTCTTTTGGAAAAGGCTCTATCTCCAATACAGTCATGTGCTGAGACGTGGTAGCTAAGACTTAACATATGAATTGAGCTTAACATATGAATTGAGAGGGGAACCAATTCAGCCCCTCACAGTGTCTTCAGTGACAAGTTGTTGATTCCTGATCCTGGGAGGGCTGGAGAAGATCTGATAAAATGTGGGACACTGAGGAGAGCTTGAGCTAATCTCGGGAGAAGAGGCAGGTCATCTGTTTCCAACTGTCCTTCAGCCGGCTGGCCAGGCGCAGCGGCGCCTTCCACAGTGAGAGCGCCGGACCCTTCCTGGTGGGCGGTGGGAGGACCCAGGTGTGTGACACTGGGCTGGTGCTCTCGGTAATCTTCAGGTTTAAAAAAAAGAGGAAAGATCTTTGGCTCGCACTCAGATGTTATTTAAAGAGGAAACGGTCCTATGGCTTTGTGGGCAAAAATGTGCTTGGCCTGCTGTCTGTGTTCATATTGTTTTGTTAGATATCTACAAACCCTTTTCTTTGTTTTACTCAAACAGCTTTTCTTTGTATTTCAAATTTGCATGTTGGTCATTTTATTTTATTTTTTTTAAAAATGGTGCGCATTGAAGTTTATTTTAAATGTTTTTCCCAAGTAGAAATGCAGTAGTTATTGTATACTATAGCTCTTTTACATTTTCACGTTTCTTAGGTGTCCCCCCGTCCCTCAAGTGAATGTGCGGAATGCTCAGGACAGCACATTAATTTGTACGTAATTCATGCTTTTGTGATGCTCTTTTCTCTCAATGTGTGTCCTGCAGGCTTGTCCTGAGTTACATGAAGGAAGAGGTAGGACAGCTAGACTTTTGTGATGGTCACAGCCCAGCAGTAACTATTACGTTTGTTTGCCCATCACAGCGGAGAGAGGTAAGTGTCTTGTCTCCAGATGTCTTAAAAGCAGGGCACAGTAGCCTGGGTTGCCTAAATGAACAGGAGTCTGGGTTTGGGGCAGGGCAGGCCGGGGTGCAGGAAAGGGGGGCAGTCAGAAAGGGTGTTGGTGGTCTCAGGAAGAGACCCGCTTCCTGGGATAGATCCTGCTACTTGGGGGAGGGTCACAGCGGGGGGGGGGTTCACTTGCACCAACCCAGAGGGGCCTCTGCATGTATCAAGGTAGGAGGGTGTTTTGTTGTAGTCTGAGTGAGATGATTCTAAGTGGCTCATGGATAGATTGTTTTATTCTTATTGTTACTTCGATTTTACTGCATAGTTGAAAAGCCGTAAGTATAATCTCAGCCTGCGATTTCTTACGGGGGTGAGTTTCACTGCCTCCTCCTTCCCAGTTCTGCGCCTACTCCCCTACCGCCTTCCTCCACTCACACTCACAGATTTATTACTCTGTCCTCCAGCGGTTTATGAGGTCTCTAGCACAGTTGTAAACTCCTTGAGGGTAGTGGGAGTCTTATTTGTCCTTGAGTGTCTGTAGCCCAGAGGCCTTTGCACGCATCCGTTTGCTGGTTAAGTGTTTTAACAGGCTCAGGGGCTGATGGAGAGGAGGCCTCCCCCAGGGAGGAGGGGCGGGGCTTTCTTGCAGTGATTTCTGCCTTCCTCTATTAGAATGAGGCTGAGGTGGG